GGGATTGATAGACTTGTGAAGATCCTAATTAGTATATATAATTTATCATCAAATATATCTGTTTGTAAATTGATCCGTCGACTTATAACTTACTTAGATGCATCGTTGAATATTAAAAATAAAACGTCTCACCTATATATATATATATATAACACGCTTCGTTGTACTGCTTTAACTACATATATAACATGTTATAGTATATATTAGTGTATTCATCCCTTGTATTACAAAAATATTAACGGATATCTTTTATATAATTCAGATAGTAAATACAAAAGTGATTTAAATTTTGACCAATGTTGATCACATAACCGACCAAAGTTGGCCGGTTACTTTCCAGATATTAAAAAAAAGCGACCAAAGTTGGTCGGTAAATGCTTCCTCTGTATTATCGACCAACTTTGGTCGGTAATTTTAAATAAGATTTCTTTATATTTTATAAAATATTTTAAATAATAATATAACTATTAAAATTTTTTAACTGGGTCCCACATTGCCGACCAAAGTTGGTCGGTAATATAAAATTTTCTTTGACTACACAATACTGACTATCTGGGTCAACCTGTTGACCACTTTACAGATCAACTTTGGTCGGTAATTTATATAAAATAAATATAAAATATTTTTCTCCCTTTTACCTACCAACTTTGGTCGCTAATCTGGACAGACTAAGTTTGGTCGCAAAATTTTGGTCGCTAAATTCCAAATTTCTAGTAGTATTTTATTTGTTTATTCCTGATAATATATAAGTACCATTGAGCTTGACATCTGAGTATTGTGATTTATGATAATCAACTTTTTTCCACTTATATTCTATGATTTGTTGTGCAATACACATTAAGTCTTTGAAAGCGAAATAAACTTTCTCCACAAAGAGCGAAATACTTTCTCGTTTGCTTCCTTGCACAAATTTTAAAAAAAGTTCATTCACATTCTATAATCTACTGGTCTAGTCTAATTACTACCTACAAATTGTCATTTAAATTGCTTTCTAATAGGCTTCTAATTAAAATATTCATGCCATGATTCTAATTCATGCATTCAATTATATATGGTGAGGAGGTTCAATATACTTCTTCCGTTCTAATTCTGTGATATAATTTGAATTGAAATACCTAATACTCCGTTGTATTACTTATGAAGAGTCATTATTACAAATAGAATTAAGTTAATGTTGAAGCACTATAGTTACCCATTATGGAACATTGATTTGAATACATTGCTACAGTTTAATGCACATAGTGGGGTAGCCTTTTACCAGAGGGAGAAAAGAAGAAGATTCTTCTCTTCTCTGCGAAATTTTCCATTTTCTCTCCAATTTTTTGCTATTTATTAACGAACATATAGTGCGCAAGAAATACACAGAATTCTTAACGGAAACTTTATTAGAACAGTACAAAGGCCTTAAATTAATGGAGAAGTGTCGTTGATAGCATGGGAAATCATGAGAGTCACTTCTAAATCAGTTGCTTATTTCACAGAAAAGGTGAATAAATTTAATGTCCAAACTTTAAAGGAAAAATAATTAAAACAGAAAAAGAAAGAGTGTTTCATGAATAGTAAAACTTTCTTCATGTTTGAAGCATGTAGGCTGAGAGGGATTCAAGATTTAAAGTTTATGGGTTCTTATAGCAATCTCAAGTTATCCTGTATGTAATAATAATTAGGTTCTTCGTCAAGTATTTATGTAGTACAAATATTTTTGTAGATTTTTTAATATATATCTCCATAGATTTCTTATTATATATCAAGTATATTTTTCTTAATACGGTAAAAGGTCTGATATGTCCGTCTACTATTAACAATTGTTTAAAAGTGTCCTTCGTTATACTATTTGGCCGTTTAAGTCCCTACCGTTATACTATCACACAAATATACCCCTAATTTTACAGAGTGCCACGAGGGAGCTCAGGAACAAAAGGACTCACCCTCTGTTTCAATAGCTAGATCCATTTAAAATCCACACCTAATTTTTTGCCCATTACCCGACCCATGTGCATCAAATTCTGTCCACGGTTCACGACAAATTGGCCTAATACCGCCATTTTCATCTTCTTCATACCAACTTTTACCATTAAGCTCCATGTTTCACCACTTGATCGATTCAACAATCAGAAAAAAGAAGTAATTCCATGCTCTAGAACATCTTTATTTTCCTTGTTTTTCAAAGAAAAGGAAATTTCTTCAATTTATTTCTCACTCCAACCAAAATGAAAAAATAATATCTCATGGTTAGAAATTAGGTTTGTGAGATTCCACATTTTTTTAATTAAGGTCTTCGAAAAATGCCATAAAAAGAAGAAAGAAAGATCAGAAAGCATAACTACTCTCGGTTTTTCACAATTTTCAGGTATAATTGTTAAAAAAAAATTGAAAACCGATTTGCTTTGGAATTATAAATTTGTGACAGTATTTTTTAAAGGAGACGTGAGGCATAAATCTGATTGAGCAAAAAAAGTAATTGGTGATAAAAAAATTAGGAAAAAAAATTGAAGCCACCATGAAAGAACAAGCTACAAAGCTTTGGATATGCAAATAAACCCGAATTTGAACAGAACGGAGGTTGCTTTGGTTGCTGTTCCAAATCTCATCCATTTATTATTGTGGATAATCCATCTAAAGGACTAGGGATTCAAGGAAAGTTGGAGATGTATGGAGATGTTCTTTAATTTTGAATTTTTTTAAAAGAAAAAAACCCAAAGTTGAGCAAATTGGGTCGGGTAATGCATGGGTAAAAAATTAGCTGTTGGTTTTAATTGGATCCTGCTATTAAAACAGAGGGTGAGTCATTTTGGTCCTGAGCTGCCAAGTGGCACTCCGTTAAAATTAGGGGTATATTTGTGTGATAGTATAACGGTAGGGACTTAAGCGGCCAAATAGTATAACAAAGGACATTTTTAAACAATTGTTAATAGTAGAGGAACATATCAAACTCTTTATCGTTCTTAATATAGGTCCAAGATTTCACGTTTATGTAGATTTCCTAATACATATATTGGATCGTAGCAAAAACTACTGGGTTCACATGTAACTATAGCAGACAATGTTGATCCGCCCCTGGATATAGGTATAATTTTAGAAGCGTTACATTAAAAGGTTTGGGTTAAGCAACATATATAAGCTGCATAAAAATTCCATTAAGGTATCAATTTGTTAATAGTGCATGCAAAAAGTGGTCAAGATAGAAAAAAAAAGATAAAAAAAAAAAGAAGCAATGCAAGCGGGTTGCTAGGGCGAATGTGTTAGTGAAAGTGATCGAACAGAAAAATATATACTACTCAAGTCTTGAAAAGGAATCCTTGTGGCAACTCAAACAACAAAAGCTGAAGACCAAAAGAGAGGGCCTCATGTGGTTACTATTCTGATGCTGTTGAAAAGCTTAGCACTAATTTGCTTCTAACTAGTGAAGATCTGACCTATTGTATAGGCTTAGAATCTAACACATGGGTCTAGCCCAAGATTTATCAACGTACAATATATACCTATCATGCACAAAGTTCTTTTATATATGCCCATCTTTTGATTTTGGATATCATTCAGTACTGTATATCTTAATTCACTTTGGTGTTCATTTCCTCTTTTTACATACATAAGAGCATTCGTTCACGTTAACCAAACCATAAAACTAAGCTGCATGGAATTAGACTTAAGTCATGCATGTCATATGTGCTATCAAGTTAGAAAGCATTGCGGTGCACGAAGCATATCATGTTCATGCATAGTCTAGGAAAGGATCGCTCACCAAGAGATATATAGTCTAATATGATGCAAGCATGGGTGATTCTGAATTAGGATAATTAAGTATATCTCTTTTTGCTAACTCTACACATGAACACTCCTAAAACGAAGTAGATCCCAAATTTTAAGTTACTAGATGTGGATTACCAGCGCAAGGAAACAATTGTCATAATGTAAGAGTGTAATACTCAATAGTTAAAGGTGGAAACAACAACACGTGTATGTAATTTTAGAAAAGAATCAAAATGGATATAAGAATCTGTTCCGAATACCAAAAAAGAGAAAACAAAATAAAACGGCAAGAGAGGAAAAATATTATCTTTCATTACCAGGCTATTTGCCGCAAAAAGCAAGCAGTAAAAAATTCCGATACCAAAAATGAAAAGCGCCAAGTATCAGGTGCTAGGATTTCAGGGCTTGCTATCCTTTGGAAAAGAAGACACTATCAAGAACAAGTTGAAAGTTGGGACCGGCCAGTTATGCTCCAAATTGCCTAGCCATATATATGCTTTGTAAGTAAATCCATTCTGATGTAAACATTTTACTATTCATTAATCATGTACTACAAACAAGTGCCATTCGATCTAGCACAAGGATTTGATCCCTTTTGATTTGACTCTTTGACTAGTTCTTGTTCCTTCTAGCCTTTCTCTTTACAGCTACTATTGATCTCGTAGAAAAATTCACTGCTTGTTCATGGAATACATGTTTTTATTCCTTTCTTTCTTTGAACAAGAAAAAGGAAGAAATCTTGTTAAATGAGAGTATAAGATAGCTGCAGATTTTGGGTCACATTTTTCTACTTTAATAAAGTTTAATCCATTGATTTAACATCGATCCTAAAAGAGTGCCACCTTTCTTTTGGTGGAGACGATTTAACAGAGCACTAGCTTTTGTTTTCCCTAGCTAAGCAATCTTGAGAATCTGAGATCCTTTGGTTCGTCGATTTGTCCAGACTTTGATGTACATGTATCCAATTCTTTGCACGCTATTATCAAGGCATGCCTATCTTGTCAAAAGTAAGGATCAACTGCTTTACCAGTCCACATGCAAATGCTACCTTTTTCATTCAACACCAATATAATCCAAATAGTATTGACAGTAGAGGATCTGATACAAGTTGTATCCCAGCCAGGAATACTCAATTCCCAGGACATATGAACTTAAAACTATTTAGATTCACTAGCTCTTGCGCTTGGGATTGTATTATCTTTTAACTTCAATTGGGAGGGGGGAGTCATATTCATTCCGACGACAAGAGGAGAAAAAACAAATTTAAGAAATACCAATGTGCGATACAAGGTTCAGAGATATGACCATACATTCCTGCAATTCAATTACATACTTCCAAACAGACTGTGTTGAATTAAATTCTTAGAGTAGATATACAACTACAACATCAAAGTTTTCACTGCTAGTTCTGGATGCTAAAAATCAATAGTCCTTCAATTTACATATTAATGACCGCATGATATCAGTTGTGTCAATACTGCAGATACGTTTCTTCTATCCATGTGCAAATGAAAGAAAGAGGATCAACGGAAGGAAACCCACCTCAAAATTGATTCAACCATCTGCTGGCACCACTCGCTCCTCTCACCACACTGTGATGGTAAAAATCTAAAATGAAAAACTAAAGTGGAGGAGAAAAACAAAAAAGGGAATAATTTACAGCATGCACCCATGAGCTAGTGAAAAGTCAAACTTGAGAGCATTGGCTCATAGTCTAGCATAATCTACAACAATCCGAATTCTTTGCGCTTCCAGAAGGTTTAACGCTCGAAAGATTTCTCAGTTGATGATTGCCGATCTGTACCTCAAGTTGGAGCACAGCTCCACGAGTTCCACATGCCCATCGGTCAACTTTAGACACACGCAAAACAACAGCCACTAAGCTAGGACTTCTGTTAATTAAATGTTTGAGCTACCATAATATGGGAAATCATATATACCCCAGATTTTACGTACTTTCAGTGAACTCCGCGGTTAAGCATCCCTTGGAATGATAGATAGAGATCTTTGTTATCTGTCCCGAAAATCTCTTCTGCTTTTTTCAAAGTTTCCTGGAATATTATAATGGACAAAAAGGAAAAGCAGAAAAGCATTTAGATATTGAACAAAATTACAAGGTTATACAGGATACTCTACCATAACTAAGATTATATTATTCACCTCGCGAGATTGCTTTTGAGCATTTAATTCCTTTATGTTAGCTAGAAATGCACTGAACTGCTCATAAGACAGACGACTCCTGAATCAACAATATGCTGATCATCAGGTGAAAGATCTTTTACTCAATAAATTCAAACAGAACAAAAGTTGAAAACAAAAAATAGATACCTGGCTTGACGGAAGAACTCCTTCCCATCAACTCGAGGAGTTTGAGCTGACAATTCACACATGCACTAATCAGTACCACAATGATTTATTCGAATGAATATGATATTAGCTAAATAAAAAGGCAGCTGAATATGTTGTCACATGTGTATAGAATCATTCTTAAATGTAAGTGAACTTGTGAATGTAATAAAAACATTGGTTGCAACACACGTTTGCATCTCATGCAAAGAAAAGTTCCCTTGTATGTGTGACGACAGAAGTGCACAGCTGAAGCAGTAACATTAGCAGAGCTAACGAACCTGGTTTTGCGCGTGCCCTTGGAGGAGAGTTAGCTGCTGAGGACTGTTGACTCGAAGGATAGAACGATGACATTGAACCTCGGCCTTGAAATTGAGGGTTTGTTGGAGTGCTGCTGCCAGACGTCCTCTGAGGAGATACAGCAGCAGAAAATCTTCTGGGGGATACACTAGCAGAAGTTGTTTTTGGAGTGTCAGTTGGAGTAAGCCGTGGTGTTATGTAAGGGATGGAAAATCTTTGCACAGCTTGCTTTGAGGCTGGATACAAAAAGAAAAATATGAATAGAAATTAAACAGCTTTTGCTACATTCTAAAATTATCATGTAAAAAAAAAGTAGAGTCAAATACCATCATCGTAACTGCCTCTGCCATCCATAGACCCACTGAAAGAATGATGCATTGTGTAGCCATTCACCTCCTCTGCAAATAGAATTATCAAGATTAAATTCAAAACATCAGGTCTCCAAGCTTGATGAAGCAACTCAGATAATATCTTGAACATGAAAAGCAAACAAAATCAAGGACAAATTAATAAAGGCAATGCTAAAGTTACCTATTACAGGATATGACTTGTGAACAGATTGATCGTAAGTGCCAATATCAACAGTTTCAGCTTGCTGCCAAGATAGAAAAAGGATCGCCATAGTCGATAAAGAAGAGAGGATAATTCTTAAAGGGAAACAGATGTTCTAAAAGGAAAAGATTGTGCCTCAAGTTTTTGTACGGTCCTACACGTCAATTGGAAATAACACTCATTCCTGTTTAGGAATTTTAAATATTATACCCAAAATAATTTTTGTAGGATTCCTACTTTTTGTGTTTTTGTGCCCAAACATTTTAAAATTTTATTTACCTAATAAAAAAAAAGGTTATACCCAAAATTTCTTTTTGCAAATTCTTGTTACCCTCTCAATAATATAAAGAAATGCCCAAAAACTAGAAGATTATGTAATCTTACAGATGAGTCATCATCACTCAAAGACTGCACCAATTGCCTTTTAAAGGTCTCCAACTGTTGAAAGAAAGAAAAGTAAGTTTATGCAGCTCAATGGAAATAACAGATAAATAGTGCCTAAGATTTTCCACATACATTATTCATTCCTTAAAGGGAAGATAGGAACACTACCGCAATACCAGGAGAAAAGCACTGTGAAGGAACCAAAAGCATATAAAGCAGAAAAGCAATTAAATTAGAGAGCAAATTAAGAGTAATATGTATGACTTATTAGGGAAACACTTGTCACAGTCGCTTGCAGTAGTTAGCAGTATAATATGACAATTTTAGCTGAAATCAAGTAAGAGGATTCTTCTAAAGCAAGGCTAAAGCATAATACAGATAAACAAAAACCATAAGATAACACTGAAAACAATTCAAAGAATTCACCAGGAGAATTCGAATAAGAAACAAAAGAAATATAACCTTTGCTAAGTCGCGACCAAGCTTCTTTGCAGCCAAAGCCAAAGAATCCCTCTCCTTGGAAAGTTTCACCTTTTTTATTCCCAAAAAAGCAAAAACAAAAAATAATAATTCCCGTTTAAATGGAAATGAAAAGCAAAAGCTAGGAGAATAAAAGAAAAGATTTTTTTTTAATACATTATCTTGGAGAGTGGTGTTCAATCGCAATTCGGCAGCGCGACAGGCCTGCTCGAGCTGAGAGACCTTGTCTTCGAGGTCGAGGATCACGCGATCCTTGTCGTGAATCTTTTGACGGAGCCTACCCATATCAGACTCCAGATTTGTAACACGAGAAGCGATTGCCATAGAGGTGATCTTCCGGGCTACATCCAATTGGTCATACGGGTCTGTCGGAATGACCGAAAGTATTTCATCGGGGAGGTGAAAGTCCGGCCCGCCACTCCGGCTGCTACTCTCCGACATATTCCGAATTTCCAAACCCTAAATTTCTGAAACTGAAGAGAAATCCTCTCCAAGGGTTTGGAATGGAGGAAATATGCGTCACGACGTTTGCTCCACGATGTTCTCTCTTTGTTTTTTCTCTTTTTATACTTTCTTTTTCTTTTCTTTTTTTTTCATTTTGCTTCTAAAAGGGACCTGATTTCTGGGTTTGAAATTTTATTGGATTTCCCTCCAAAGATTTTGGGGTCCTTTTCTCTTTGGGTCCGTGTTGGGCGCAGGCCCCAGACTGGAGCTGAAAGACCTTTTCAGATCTATGCCTTTTTCTCATACTAAACTATTTTTAATTAAATAAATGTTATTTTATTTGAAACAGATAAATGAAATAGAGAGACCAATAATAACTCGTGTAGCTCTAGCCTACATTCCCCAACACATAATGTTTTTTTTTTTTGGCTCGTGAACGCGGGCGGGTGGGG